TTTTTTTCTAAGCACAGGAGATGGAAGCCAACACCTCATTTATGTTAGGTAAATACTCAACCACTGAGCTGCACCCAGTCCAAGGTTTTTCTTTCTTTCTTTTTTAAAAAAAATTATTTATCTGATACAGGATCTTGCTATGCAGCTCGGACTCCTATCTCAGCCTCCTCAGTGCTGGGACTATAGGTGTGCACCACCACGCCTGGTTTCAGTAGCTGGCACAGCATCTGGTACTGGGGATCAAACCCAGGTCCTAGTGCTTGCCAGGTAGGCCCTTAGACTGCCAAGCTATCTCCTCCTGGCCTTAAGCCTAACTTCTCTAATTCTTCAGCTTGGTCAAATCTGCCTGTGAAGCACACTAGTGATTTTTCTTTCCATTTCAGTTCTTATATGTTCTAGTTCTAACATTTTTCTGTATCTTTGTTGATACTTCTACTGTATATATACATCACTTTCTTGACTTTCTCTGTCTTCCTTAAGCACTCTCAGTATCTCAAAGACTTCTGTTTGAAAGTCTTGTAAGTCTGCTATTGTGTTTTCTCTTAGTTCACCTTTTCCTTTCAATGCAATATACTTCTCTGTTGCTTTGTGTCTTTTAAAAAATTTTAAAAATCGTTTATTTATGTATGTATTTGGTACAGAGTCTTACTATGCAGCTTGGACTTGTAGTGATCCTCCTGGCCCAGCCTCCCCATTGCTGGGATTACAGGGGTACACCACCACACCTGGTTTCAGTGGCTGGCTCAGTGGGTGGTACCAGAGATCTTACCCAGGTCCTTGTGCTTCCAGGCAGATGCTAAGACCACTGAGCTATCTCCCCAGCACTCTTTGTTTCTTATTTATTTATTTATTTGTATGTGGCCAGCTCAGCCCACCAGGGGGCAGGCGGGCTGGCATGTGGTGCTGGGGGATTGAACCGAGGTCCCTGTGCCTTGCTTGGCTTAGCTTGTTCTAAGTAGGTGCCTTAGACCACTGAGCCATCTCACCAGCCCACTCTTTGTTTCTTTTAAACTGAATCTTTGAACCTAATAATTTAGCAACTCTAAATCAGATTTTCCCCTTCACCCAGAACTTGCTGGGGTTTTTTAGTTTTGCTTTGGCTTCTTACAGTCTGTTGCTATACTGAGGATAACCCTGTGGTTTAAACTGAAAGTCATCTCAGGACATTATGGTGCCTTCCTCTATTTCTGGACATTTTGATTTCCCCATATATTTAGCTGCTTTTGAATGCCTTGGTCCTTAGTGTCTAGCTCCCAAAACAGGCAAAAGGCATTTGGAGGACAGAGTCCTGTTGCCTCCCCTTGCTCCCTAGACCCTACTCTGACATGTGAGCTAAGAGCTAGGACTGAACACAAGTAGCCTTCTGAACTCAGCCCCAGAAGCTGCAGGCCTTCAAGAGATGCCAGAGTTCCAAAGAGTTACATCAGATTCTGCTGGTGATTCTGTTCCCATGGTGGGTAGATGATAGGAGCTTCCAACTGCCAGCCCTCCAGAATCCACTCACTTCACCTGCACTTTCTTGAAAGGTATTTTTGCTGGGTATTAAATTCCAGGTTGACAAGTTCATTTTGTTTTATAGTGTTTTCAAAATATGACTCCACTAGAATAAGAAATCTGTGCCTTTGTACATTTTAGGACTTTTTTTTTTCTTTTGTCTTTTTGAGACAAGGTTTTGCTATGCAGTTCAGGCTGACCTTGAGCTTACTTCATAGCCCAAGAAGACCTTGAACTCACAGAGGTTCTCCTGCCTCAGCCTTCTGAGTGCTGGGATTACAGGCATGTGCCACCAGGCCTGGCTCCTGAATGAGTTTTTTCTTTTTTGTACCAGGAGTTGAACTCAGGACTTGTGCTTACCAGTCTAGCACTATGCTGTTGAGCTATATCCCACACTCATTTTAGGGCTTTATGTCTGGCTGCTTTCAATGATCTCCTCTTTATCACTGTTTTAAAGCAACTTGATTAGGATGTACTTTGATATCATCTTCTTATATCTTCTCTTAGGATTGTTGAGCACTTGGATCTGTAAGCTTATGGCTTCCATACATTTTGGAAATTTTTTGAAATTATTTCTTCAAATAACGTTTCTGTTTCCTGCCTTCTGCTGGGATATATCGACAATAGATGCTCAATTTACCCTGAGTTATATTCCAAAGTTGAAAATAAATAAAAAATGTATGTAATGCACCTAACCTACCGAACACCATGTGAAACATGCTCAGACCACTTACCTTAGCTACAGCTGGGCAGAAGCGGCTGACACCAAGTGATCTGTTGAGCACAGTACCCTGGAGAGTGCGGCACTCGATGTCTACCCTCGCAACCACATGGCTCAGTGGGAACCTGGCAGCTGCCACAGGCCAGCATGAGTCATGCATAAAAATTGCAGGAGTTTCTTTGGGTGCATCATACCACTTTTGCAGCATAAGAAAGTCAAAAAATTATAAGCTGAACCGCTGCCAAAGTCAGGAAGTATGATAGGCTGCTGAAAATCTTACAGCCCACGGATGCTTAGTTTTGGTTTTTCCCTATGTACTTTGCTTTTGGATTGTTTCTATTAGTATTTGAGATCTGAGTTTACTAATCTTTCTTCTAGAGTCTAATAAGTTTATTCCATCTACAATGCTTTTCATCACTGTCTCCCCTTAATCATGTTCTGATTTCCTTGATCTTCTTGAACACACGGACTATATCTACAGGAAGAACTTCTTATAGAAGCCTGTATCTTCTATCACGTATGTCATGTCTTGCTTTCCATTGACTGAGTGTGGCAGACCATATTTTGCTGTTTTATCTCCCTGAAAATTTTGGCTGAAGTGATAGATACTGTATATTTCACACTGTTGTGTACCAGAAATTTTGGACATTCCTTTAAAAATCTTTTTGCTTTGTTTAGAAATGCAACACTTAAGTTGGCTGGAAATAGTTGGATCCTTACCCGTCTTATTAATCTTTCTTAGAGGGGCCCAGAACAAACTTTAACCTCGGGCACAGTACACTAGGCACACAGTCCAGTGCCCCTGTGTGCCAGCCAGCTTTCCTGCACTTTGACAAAATACCTGAGATGAACCAACTGGGAGGAAAGGCTTACTGTGGCTCCCAGCTTTGGGGTCCCAGCCATGACTCCTTGGCCCTACTGCGGGACGGAACATCCTGGTGGGAGTGCATGGAGGAGGAAAGCAGGGAGAGGGAAAGGGCTGGAATCCCAATGTCCCCTCCAGGGATCCAACTTTCTCTCACTAGGCCTCTTCTCATAAAGGTTCCAACCCCCTCCCACTAGTGCCATGGATCGAGGACTGAGACTTTAACATATGTGCCTTTGAGGGACATTTCAGATCCAAATTACAGCACTCTTATGTATTAGAAGGGTTCTCCAGTCCAGCTCTTGGGAATGCAAACTCCTCCCAGTGCCGCGCAGATCCCAGGGACATTCTTTCCTCCTCTTTCTGGCACCTCTTTCCTTGGCCCCTGGATGCACACATTGGTGTACTCGGCTGACAGTATAAGTGGCAGCAGCTTTTCCAGATGTCCTGGGCTTAGGTGCCCTCTCCGTGGTCTCCCCCAGATTAGAAACATATGAAGCTGCTGTGGCCTGATTGAGAAGACTGGGCTTTCTTTAATTTTCAACTGACAACTAAATTTTCCATCAAAAGGAGCAGTGACGAGAGTTGGAACATGACATGAATTTTCTGTTTTCAGAAAAGAATGAGGGGAACTAACCCCTGGACCAAATGACTATAATGCATTATGAAAGAAAAAACAAACTGCATGGTCCCTAGGGCTACAACAAAAGAAACCATGTAGAGTGACACTGAAGACTGGGAGCAAACCCGAGCAGGAGATTTCTGCAGATGTTCACACCTGTCCTTTCCGACACTATGGGAATGCCATCTGCTGTGGTCTGGCTGGGGCTTCAGTGTCCACCAGGGCTTTGTGTGCTGAAATTTAATCCTTTTGTGAGGAATGTAAAAGGTGGAAACTTAATCTGACTATGGAATCAGACCATGTGGCTTTTGGGAAGTGATCTGGATTGGTTAAGATCATAGGGCGCTGCCCTATGACAGCCTGGTGACTTTATAAGGAGATAGACCAGACACACACAGAGAGACATGCTGTCTCTTGTGATGTGTCACCTTGTGTCTGCCAGCAAGAAGACCATCAACAGATGGAGAACTTGAACCTCTAAGATCTTTTTATTTGTAAAGTTTCCTGCCTCAGGTGTTTCATCACAGTAAGAAAAGCTGTTACACTTTTGTGAAATTATGAGTCAACTCAAGGTAGACATTTGTTTCCCTCAAAAAAGACCTGCAGACAACCTGGAGAGCCTAGCTACCTAATGTGGTAGAACTGAGGTACAGAAAAGAGTAGGAAGCCCCCAGCCTTCCTATGAGGAGCACATGGCATGTGCTCCTCAGCCCACAGGCGGAAGCCGCTCCACCGAGAGGCTGTGAAGGGTCTCACCAGGCCTCCCTGTGCCTCTAGATGAATGTCTCAAAACATCAGACATCCTTTAAAAACCACTAAGCCGAAATCTCCACCAAAACACTGGCCTGAATTTGGCCCAGATTCTGGATCCTTCTTAAAATTTCCAACCCAGTCCTTCTGCTACCAGGGTCCTGTGATGGCACCAGGGGCACCTGTCTTTGGAGCAAACTCCAGCCTCAAGGACCTGTTCTTTGACGACTGTACTCTGGGACAGGGTTTCTACTTGTATAAACACTACACATGAAACAAAGTCACATAACAGCCCACCTCAGATCACCTCGCCTGAGCACACAGACTTAACTTTTATTTCCACTGCTAAGGGTAGGAGTCACCTTCCTAGGCCTTGACCAGGAGATACATTCTTCCTAACTTAAACAAAACAAAAAAAAAGTACTCTTTCAAAATTTGAACACACGTCATAGATTTTCTTAAGTCCTAGCAGGGCAAGATCATTCTGATGAAGGTTCATCTGCTCCAAAATAAAACCATCCCTTGCTTTGTAAATTCTAAGATGTTACCTGATTTGTTAGTGTGAAAATACTTTCACATCTGTTTCTAGATGAGACGTCATATGGGATATTTAAAGAAAATTTAGTCTTTTGGTCAGGAACAAAGGTGAGTGAGAAGGACACAAGAGCTTCAAAGAATTCCAGGAAAACCAGCTGAAATATAAGAACACACAGGAGTTACACTCATTCTGATGCGCTAAGTGGTGGCCTGGGATTGATCTGGGCGTTCATTTCTTAGCCATTGTTTCTGTTGGGTGTGGTGGTGCGTGCCAGTTGTCTTAGTTATTTTTGTTCTTGTTGCTGAGACAAAATATCTGATTCTCAAAATTAAAGAAGGAAAGGTTTATTCAGCTTACAGTTTGGGGAGATTTCAGTCTATAATCAGCTGGCTTCAAGGCAGATGGGCACATGGCAGAGGGCAACAATTCATGGCATTGGAAGACAACAACAGCAACAAGAACAAAAAGGGAGGATAAAGAGAACAATCCTCTTTATCTCCCTGATAGTGTATGCAGGCAACCCACCCTAGAGTGAGTGTAGCACTCACACCCATAATCCCAGCATGGGGCCAAGTGTCAATCAAAAACTCTACAAGCCCACCCCATGACTGCATGAGGCTTTTGGGGGACCATCCAAACACAGACCACACCACCTATAATCCCAGAGGCTGAAGCAGGAGTATTGCCATGAGTCTGAGGCCAGCCTGGGATACATAGTGAGATAAAGACCAGCCTGGAATATATAGTGAGCCCCTCTCAAAAAAGTGGGAAAAATATCTATTGCAATAACCTTTCCAATATTAATCTCTAGTATTCTAAATGCAACCAAGGATGTAAGTATACACACACACACACACACACACACACACACACACACACATATATATATACATACTTGGTTTTTGATATCCAAAGCAAAACACACACCCTGAATCATATTTGCACCACTTTGACAAATTTCACCAACCTCAAGTTCCAAGTTGCTGTCTGTTCCATCATGCATGAAAGGATTCTCCTCTGCTATTACTGCCACAAATTTGGTTGGGCTTAATTCCTTATTTATCATTTTAAAGTCCTGTAAAAGAAACAACCAACCAAACCATAACTTGTTATAATTAGAAAGATATACATTTTAATGTCAGTGTATGCAATGAACTACCTCTTTTAAAAATGTACCAAAAATCATTATCTTAAAACCTGATCATTTGATTTTTGTTCTTTGAGACAGGGTCTCGCCCTGCAGTTTAGGCTCGCCTGGAACTTGAGGTGATCCTCCTGCCTCATCCTTTCATGTGCTGGAGGTATTGGCATGTGCCACCAAGCCCAGCTTCCAAAAACTCATCTTCTTGCACAGGATTCTGGACCAACTTGAGTATTTACTGCTCCACCCTTTTTCCAATCCTTCTTAAAACTAATGTAGCTTTCTGTATCTCTTTTTTCTTTCTTTCTTTTTTTTTTTTTTTAATTTTACACAAACCCAGGTCAGAGATAATGGGGGAGCAAATGATCCAGGCATGAGAGCCACATGATTCCAGGGGCTGGGGGCTCTGGGCTGGTAGGCACTGGGCTGGTGGGCTAGGCACAGTAAAGGAGCTTGGGGAGGCCCTGAGTGGTGGGAGAGGCCACTACCGGAGGCTACACAGAGGAAGACCAGCTTGAGTCTGGCTGGAGCCCTTTCCAGAGGGAAGGTCTACACTCAAGACCAATCCTAAGAGAATCCAGCTGGGAAGACACTTGGCTCCCCTCAAGTCACAGCGCTTTGCTGCAAAAGACAACTGAGTGCAAATGGGCCTCGCTGTCACCCCTCCATAGCCCACCCCACCTTTCTTTTATTCTGTGGCCTGGGACATCCAGCAGCCAGACCTCCCCATCCAAGAGACAAGACCTGCCCATGCTCACAGCTTGCCGTGAACATCCTGGCAACACGCCACGCTGAAGCTGCACCTCTGCCAAGTGCCACCACCTGCAGGGCTTTCAATTGGCTTTGCAGAATGCCACCGGCTAGTGACATCCAAGATTCACTACACAACTGAGCAGAAGGCCTAACATTGACACTGAAGAACAAGTTGGGTGCTGTGGCACACCCCTGTAACACTAGGACTCTGGAAAGCTGAAGCAGGAGAATTCAAGGTCAACCTGGCCACTATGTGTGAGACTCTATCTTAAAATTTTAAAAAGGACTGCACTGTAGTTCAGTGGCAGAGTGCCCGCCTTTGCTTGAGTCTCTGAGTTCAATTCCTAGTACCTAACTAAAAGGAAAGAAAACCTGTGAATTGCTAGGATACCAACTAATTGTTTGAAATTTAATAAAGGGAAAATTCAAGTATTTAGCTCCCCTCTCCTGTATGCACCTGTATTTCAGGGGATTCTGCTAAGTGGTGAGGTAAAGCTTTTTCAAAAAATCAGGCTCACAGCTGATTCATGCTGTGGATAAGAGAAATAGTAGACTTTCAAAATGACCATGGTGCTCTCCCCGCTAAAATACCGGATGTCGGCAATGGGCATCATGGGCCACTTGAGGAAGGCTTGTGGGACACATAAGAATCCTGGTGCTATCTCAGGAACCCATTGAAGCCCCAAGAAACATTTGTAAAGCCATGCAATAGGAAGGACACACCACCAAGTCAAACGGAGCCTCTAACTCTGCCACTGGGTGGAAGCACAGGGGGAAAGGGCGTGTTACCCACCATGCAAAGGATGCAGTCAGAATCATGATGTATGCCCTACTCTGTGAGAACAAATGACTGTGAAGAAAGGGTAAGGTCATCCAGCTGTACTGGTGCTTGCCTATAATCCCAGCACCCTGGGAGGCTGAGGCAGAAGGATCTCAAGTTCAAGCCCTGCCTGGGCAACTTAGTGACTTAGCAGGCCCCAGTCTCAACATTTAAGAGGCCTGGAGACATACTCATCTGGAAGGCTCTTGGCTCAATCCCCAGCTCCACAGAAAAGGGGAACCAAGGTAAGCAACAAACAGCAGTAAAAGATCCTATGCCCTAGCCATACACTTTAAAATTAATGTTCCTAAAGACGTGCTCATTGTTTTTTCACACACATATAATACTGCTAGATGGCTGAAAGCACTCTGTCACTAGTATTTGGTTCTTCAGCTTCATCAAGAATATTCCCACCTGATAGTATGATAACCCCGATAGCATGAGAACCCCGATAGCATGAGAACCCTGATAGTATGAGAACCCTGTGTAAACAAGATCCCACTGCTTTTCAGAGCTGGGGATATAGCTCAGTGGGAGAGTATCTGCCCTGCATGTGCAAGGCCTTCTGTTCCTACCACCACAAAATCCAATAATAATAATAATAATAATAATAATAATAATAACGGCCATTCATGTTGTCATCTATCTGTGAGAGGCCAGGTCTGGAGCAGCACAGATGATACAAAGGAGGCGTCCCCAGGCCCTAACCTGCAGCACAGGGGAGGCTCCCCTCTGTGCCTCCTATTATCACAGACCACTTCATTGTTCTCTCTGCCAAAGAAAACTGGATCATTCAAGTTTCGTGAAAATTCATCCCAGGTCAGGTGTGGTAGCGTATGTATGTAATTCCAGCTACTCAGAAAGCTGAGGCAAGAAGATCACAAGTTTGAGGCCAGCCTGAGCAGCTTAGTAGGAGCTGGTTTCAAACATTTTTTTTCACAGGAGGCTGGGGATGTAGCTCAGGGCATCTGCCTATGCCTGGCACACACAAGGTCCTAGGTTCCATCCCAGAACTGCCCCCCAATTCATCCCTGATCTTTACCTCATTATATAGTACAACTAGAATATCTTGCTTTTAATGTAAAGATTCCTGTAAATATAAAGCCAATATCAAACCAAAGTGGCATTAAACTTATCTTCAGCATCCACAGGAAGTGTCTCATCTTCATTGTTAGCTCACCCGGAGGAGCGGTATTCGGTCTGCAGTAAGTGCTATAAATCTCCCAGCACGTATCAATGTAATTTATTGTACAGAACAGCCCCTCTCGCTCACTGAATAAGTTACCTGAAAATATAACATTCAAAAACTCATTACAGGGCCAGGGAGATAGCTCAGCTGTATAAGTGCCTGCCTGGTAAGCTCAGCGTACTGAGTTTGATCCCTGATACAAAACAAAACAAACAAAAAAGAACCAACCAAAAAAAAAAACTAATTAAAAAATTAAAAATGATAGTAAATATTATCTTATTTTTTTATACTTACCCTTTACATGGCAGGCATTTGGACGGATGTTTTCAGTCATCAGCTTTGTAAAACACAGAAAGAGTGATGGCTTGTGATTTCTGTGATTAAAAAGACATCAGTTATTCCATCCAGGAGACAGAACTTAAGTTCTGTCTTCTGGAGTGCGGAGTAGACTTAATAACTGGACTGGGTCAATCAGGGTAGAGAAAGAAGAGACCATGAGTTTGCAGTAGGAAATCTTGCTGGCCCCCTTCCAATCTATGAGTGGGGTTAATCTGGTCCCTACAAGACATCCGACAGCTCGTACCACCTGTGTAATGGAAGGGGGCCATTCACCCACATGGTATTCTTCCCCCAAACCCACATGCTCAGAAGAATCGTGAGACAGCTTTGTGACACACAGAAACGTGAGAAGTGTCACAAACCAGCTAGTCAAGATTTAAGTGTCAAGGTCATGACAAAGTCTGAGAAATGATCACAGATTAGAGGAACCTGAGAGGACATGATGGGTCAGTGTGAGGGAGCATCTTGGATTCATTGCCTGGGACAGAAAGGGGACAGCTACGAGGCTTCTGGGAAAAACTGGAGAAGTCTTTTAGTTTTAGTTTTCTTCTTTTGTGTACAAGGTCTCATTACAGCTCAGACTCATAGTGATCCTCCTGTTTTCAGCCTCCCTAGTGCTGGGATTACAGGTGTGTGCCTGGGATTACAGGCGGACTTCATCACCAGCTCAGCATGCCTAGGGATGGGGCCAGTGCGGCATGTGGTGCCAGGGATTGCACCCCGGCCCCTGTGCTTGCCTAAGCAAATGCTTAGTCTGCTGAGTTATCTTGCCAGCCCTTGGAGGAGTCTTTTAAAATACTGTAAGCATGGTTTACAGTATCTGAGTAACATTAATTCCTTGATTTTAATGAATTACTATGTCAGGTGAGATATAAACTTAAGGGGAATTTTGGCGAAGGATATATAGGAATTTTAGACAGGAACTCTGCAAAAGTTCTGTAAATCTAAAAAATAAAAAGAAATTGGGGGAACAGAAGATATTATGTTTGCTTTAAAGCAGGAAATTCTGACCTAAGAAATAAGAGTTGACTGTGCCTTATTTTGAATAAAATTCCAGTAGCTCTATGCAGCACTGAAATGCCACCACTGTGGAAAATGTTCTGAATTTTACTGTATCTTATGACTTTGTGGCTGAAATTTGGGGAAAGTTTTGTTGCTTGACCTTCATTTCGAGGCCATATGGAGACAACACGGATCACTAGCAAAAAAGAGGATGACATTACTGCAAGGTCCGGCACAAGGAACTCAATCAATGCCAGGCACTTACTGGTATTTTTTGTGATGAATGTGGTAGGCCAACTGTAGGAGATAGCTCAGGAATGTCCTCAGAAGTATTGTTGTAAACGGAGAATGAATTTCTTCAACTGGTATATTGTTACTGGCTAAAAGAAGAAAATCAGAGCATAAGCAACGGGAGAGTTTTTCCAGCACACCTGTGTTGTTTCCTCCTTGTACACAAACCAAAGCACTGAGTGGGGAGAGCCCTGCTTCCTCAAGAGTACTCTGAATGTGCAGCAGCATCCAACCAAAAATCACCACAAGGAACTGCTCTGTCTGGTTATTTTACAGAACACTTGTCATTTACTTTGTCCTCTTGCGTTTCAAAGTCATCTGAACCACAGCTTCACGCTGCTAATTTTAAGTGGATTTTACACATTCCTGCAGGCTTGAACCACTAGTCATACGTGCATGACTGTCCCATTGGGTGGCTTGTACCACTGGTGGTACAAATGGATCTAATCACTTTTATTGATCTTTTTTCTAAAGAAAGTAATAAAAAGTCTATAAATGAACCAAATCTAGTTAGTTGCTTAAACCTAAATATAAAGATTAATCATATATTGATATAATTTGTATTTATATGATATGTTTATATTTGGTTAATCACATTTGTACCAATTAAAAATTATAATAATCAATTTTATTTTATTAAATTAAATTAGAGCTGCCCAACAGTGAGACACGCAAATCAAGTCAGAGCTACCTAGTGGTGAACAGGCCCTATTCACTAATGAATTAGGCCCTGTCATGAGTGTGTTAAAAAATGTTTATCAAATATCTTTAATTTTATTGGTACATTTTGTATATACATAATGATCACATTAATATTCTATTTTTTGAGAAGCTAATTTGAGGCTTCCAGTTCTTCCTCTCAGAATTCATGTGAAAGAAGTAAAACCTGTAAGGTTGTTCAGTTGATCTCATGTACTGTCCAATTTGAAATCTTAAAGACGTCCCATAATGGCTTAGACCCACAATCTCCCCTAGAAATCTCATGCATTGAGAGGTGGGGGTTTCAGAAGGTGATTGAATCACGGGGGCTCCACATTCATCAGTAGATGAGCTTACTGCGAAACGTGTAGTTAGAGAAAGTGTATCACTGGGGATGTGCCTTGGGATGGTGGATCTTCCTCCCTTCTCTGCTTCCTGGACACCAGGCCCATCTACCACAATGTTCCTGCCTTGGAGCCGGCTGACCATGGACAGAATTCCCTGAATCATGAGCCAAATGAAACCTCTCCTTTAAGTTGTGAGCATCAGGTATTGTGTCCAGCAATGGGAAGGCTAATACACTACCTAAAGCCTTTTGTAGACTACTTTCTAGTATTCCCTTATCCTCCTTGCCTCTAGGCTGTTAGTTTCATGCTTTTGCACTATACAATGGGGGCAGTTCCTTCTCTGTAAGGAACCTGAGTAAATAAATATGGCCCGGGCTGGCTCAGTCACAACTATTCAACTCTGTGGTATAGCAGAAAGCAGCCACAGGCAGAAGAGAGACACAGGCAAAACTGTGCTCCAGGGAGGCCTAGTAGAATGGGTGTGGGTGGGGCTGGTCACCGCCATACTTTGCTGAGCCCTTTATTGATGGTCTTATACTGTAACTGTTATTGTGCAAGGTCACCTCTGCAAGTATACTGTAAGCATGGAAAGCATGGCCACACATCGACTTCTGGAACACCTCTCCCAACCTGTGCATTCCCTACCTGCCCAACTCTTTTTGTATTCAGTGCTGGGTATCAAAACTAGGACCTCAAACATTAGACAAGTGCTGCATCACTAAGCCACACACTCAGCCCTCCAAATATCTAACTCGTTCCTGTGACATCATGGCACGCTGACAATCTTTTGCTCCAAAAGAAGTGACAGACCTGGAATACTTACTACTTAATATCCTGTCCATATCAGCAAGAGTTAGGTTGTGGTGATGAAATTTGCAGTCTTTTAGAAATCTCCAGAAGTGAAGCTTCCTCATCAGGAAGGTATTATCTGGAGAGTGATCACACCCGAGGCTGCTGTAGAAGGTGTAGATTCTTCTCAGTTCTGAAATGTTTCTTAAGAGAGCGTATTCTACCTGAAGAGAAGAGAGCCATGCATGCTTAACCTATCTGATAAAAGTTAAAGATGCAGCACCTGCTTTCTTGATTAAATGAGGATGGCACATGTAAGCAACAGTCTGTACCTCTCCCTCATCCTGCCTGCTCTCCTCCAGTTCATAAAATGCATTTTCTGATTAACAGCAATGAAATATGTTATTTCCTGAAAAACAGAGTTACTGTAGTATTGCTATGTGATCCCATCCTGTCTCAACGGCAGCAATAGAATTCTGTCGCCCACAGATCAGTATCGCTTAAGTCCAGAGAGGCAACAATCTGCAAAGAAACCAACTGAGTCCAGAATATATGGAAAGAACAGGACATTAACACCAAGTGGATTGAATTGCAAGGCTGGTTTCAATACTTGAAAAATCAAGGAAATTCACCATATTGATAGGCTAAGGGAAGAAAACCATGCCACATGATCCACCCAGTGATGGGCCTGACAGAAGCTAGCATCTATTTATGAGGAGCACCTTACGCAAATGAAGAATGGCAAAGAGCCCTTAACCCAATAAACAGCTTGATAAAAACACAGCTAACAGCATACTGAAGGCTGGATGTGTGAAGTAAGCGGCATTCACATTAATTGTGTTACTAACCTCCATGTCCCCGTATTTCCATATGCACTTACACAGCTCTAAACTCCCATCCATGCAAGCCGACAGCCTGTATGATGTCCCCTTCTCCTATTCTAACTGTCTGTGTGTTGCACTCTTCAACGTCCATGGTGAAAAGAACAGCAATTGGGACCCCAGGGAGCCCAAAGAAGTCACATGAGTGGCAGCAACAGGCACGCCACACTCATCATTACCTATAGCCTTTTAGGCTTCAGTGTAGCTCAGCAAACATTTGTGCTCTGTCCTAACACAGTTCTAGAGTGCAATGCAGAACTTGTCTTCATGAACCTTAAAATGTAGTAAAGAACCTGAGATAGTCATTGAACACAAAAAGGAGCTACTGCTAGGAGAGCAGAGGGGAGGCAGAGGAGGAGCAACTCTAAGCAAGGGCGTCCTGCAGGGCTCAGAGCAGGGAAGGAGGGACAGGACTCCACTGCCCGCAAGTACCCCTGGGGAGACAGGCCCGGGACAGAGGAGGTGAGGGTGCTCCAGGAAAGCCTCAGGGCTGTGTAACCTGCAGCAAGGCTACCGTCTCTCTGTGCCCATCTCTCCTGTGTGAAGAAAGCACTGCCGCAGAGGTTGCTGGGATGATCCAGGGACTTCAAGTTATTGGAACCTAGGGCCTATCTGCAAGCACTGTCATCATGAGTTCATGGTCAGGAGCGGGACTGGCCCAGGCTGGCTGGGAAGAGGGCCTAAGGTTAGATCCCGTGGGGTTGAGGCAAAGGCAACCATGAAGGTGGGACAGGATAACTAGAAGGCTTACAGGACTCTGCCTGCTTCCTTATCTTCTTTAGCTGAACCTAGAATGTTCCAGGACCTCCACTCAAAAAAAAAAAAAAAAAAAAAGACACACACATTTTGATTAAGATATTAAAATGATACCAATAACAGGCAACATATGTAGTCATAGCAAAACTTAAACCCAAATTAAAGGGTATTCTACAAAATAACTGACCACTGTGCTTCCAAAGTCTCAAGGTCATGAATAACAGTGAGAAGCTGTCATGGACTTAACTGGAAGAATAAGAGACAAGTGCAGGGTGGGGCCCTGGATAGGAAAAGGGCACCGGAGGCAAGCAGGGGACTCGGAGGCAGGGGTCTGGCTTGGGCACAGAGCTGCAGCAATGCACACTTCTGGGGCCCACTGTGTGCTGAAGCATCAGGAGATCCCACGAGGGCGGAGCTGGGAAGAAGGCCCATGGGGATGAGGGTTACTAACTCTCTGTAAACGTGAAATCACTCAAAATAAAAGAAAAACCATAAGCTGCTTGCTAATAAAACTGTAGCTTGCTAATAAAATAAAATTATCAAGTATAATCATGAAAAATGTTCAAAGCTGTCCTTAAAGGATCCTTTCCCTTTCTGTCTCATATATTTCTGTAATGTTTGAACTTTTTAGTAAAAGCCATGTGTTCCTCTGTGATTATAAAACACTCAATAGGGCCGGGGAGATAGCTCAGTAGAATAAGTGCTTCCCTGGCAAGCGCAAGGGCCTGAGTTCAATCCCTGGTTCCACCAAAAAAAACCCAAAAAAACCCCAAAAACCACTCAATATACATAGTATATCTTAAATACAGAATTTTTTAAATAAGACATGCTTTTTTGTTTTTTTGTCTTTTCATTTTTTTGAGAGAGGGTCTCACTGTGTACCACAGACTGGCCTTAAATTTATTACGTAGCCCAGGCTGGCCCTGAATTTGCAATGATCTTCCTGCCTCAGCCTCCTGAGTGCTGGGATTACAGGTGTGCACCACTACTCCAAACTGTAAAATGAACAATGTATGTGTAAATATGTGTGTATGTATAAAATAATAATATGGAAGAGAATAAGGTAAGAAATCTCACTTTTCTTGTTAAATCAATATAGTGTATTTACCTCAAAATTATATTTTAGAGGATATCTAATGGCACTGACTAGCTATCACTAGGTTCTACATGAGAACAGAGATTCTATGAACAGAGAGAGCCCAGTTCTGTCTGTACGCATATTAAAAGTTAGAAAGATAACCATAAGATTTTGTCTGGGTAGAAATTCCCTTTTCCCTTCATTGTGTTTTCTACCTTTTCTACTTTTGTAATTAGAGGAAGAAGTGAAGAACCTTGGGGCACAGGTGAGTGGTTCTGGGCCCTTAAGTTACAGTGTGGCTTTGGGAGCCAGATGAGGGGAGGACTAGATGGACAATCTTCCTTTTGGGGACCCCAAGAGCCAGGGCCAGGTGTCAGTGAGGGGGAAGAGAGAGGGTGAAGATGCAGAGATGGCAGAACATACCAAACCCGGTCCAAGCAGGGGCCGTGGTACTGAAACGTCATTTGCTGTGACTTGCCAGGTGGAAATCAAATAAGGTCCAAGTACGTCACTGTCTCTGTCTCTAAGGGGTTTTAGGTTTTCAGTGACTTCTCGTTTTATTTGTTTGGGTTTTGTTGTCACTAGTTTGTTTTTTGCAGTCCGGTACCCTATTGTTAAGCAATACCCGAGCCCTTATCTTTTATCCTGAGACAGCATCTTGCTATGGTGGCCAGACTGGCCTTGAAGTTGCGATCCTCCTGCCTCAGCCTGCTAAGTAGCAGGGACTATAGAAAAATACCAATGCACCTAGATTTTCAGTAATTTCTCAAGGCCTTAAATTCTGCTGAACCCTATGGGACCATAATCACAGAGTCTCACTGAGGTGGTGGTGACAACCTTGGTTGTCAAGCCACACTGAATGTGAGAGTCCTGTGACTGTTAGGGGCTCTGAGGAGCTGGAGACCTCACCAAGACCCACTGTCTGGGCTCCCCAGGGTTGCCTTGGACATTAAGTGGGATGACCTACATACAGCATCCTGCACAGGACAAAGGACAGTGACCACCAGCAGTCACTCCCAGGGCCAGGGAAACTTACTAGTTAAACCTAAAATGCAAATTGATAACAGTGCAAAGGAATTTGACCTGCTTCTTTTCTTCGGCTTGCTTTTCCTTAGGGTACATGCTCACCAGCGGGTCGAGGTCCAGCTCTGTGCTCAGTGCTAGCGTGGAGGGACTCTCAGTGCCCTCCAGCATTCTGATCATGTCTACAAAACAGGGGCAAAACAGGAGACAAGTGTGAAAGCGATGTTAAAGTTTTCCGTGTTAAGTCAGAATGATTCCCTTCTACAAGGTAATACAAGAACATCCAGAAAACCTACTAAGGAAACAGCTGCAAGCCAGTTGTGATGGTGCATGCCTATGATCCCAGCCCGCTGGGAGTCAGGAGAATGGCAAGTTAAAGCCCAGGCTGGGCAAATTAGTGACTTAGACCCTGTCTCAAAATTTTAAAGAAAAGGGTTGACGATATAGCTCAGTACAAGGTCCGTGGGTTCAATCCCCAGGACTTCAAACAAGAAGGGAAAAAAAGAGAGAAAACAGGAGGGGAGGGAAGAAAGAAAGAGAGGAAAGTGGTAGGAGGGATAGAGAGGGAGAGAACCACTGCTCACAGGCACGCCTGTTTCCTGAGAAATGGGGTGCTTTTTGTGAATGGACACCAGGGACGAGCAGATGAACTTGTGTCTGCCGCCAGGCGAAGGCTCCCTACCGGCACTGACGGAGCGTCTGTGCTGCTTGCTTGCGCGGACGCCTTTGGCATGCAGGTCCAGGTAACTCTGGATTTCGGCATCAGGGTCTATAAACTGTGCTATGTGGTCATTGGAGAACAGCCCTTCGTACACACGCCCATTCTTGAAAGTGAATCGGCCCTGCAGGTAGAAGAAGGACTTCTTCCCATCTGGAAAAAGTTCTCTTGTGAAAACATTGGTAATTGTGCACCAGCAGTGTCCTCATGGTTTGGGAGCTGTTTGTTAGCTTGATACTGAGGAGTGACCGGGGGCCTTCACCCTGAGCTACATCCCCAGCCCTTTCTATATTTTTCTTTTTCCTTCTTTTTCTTTTCAATGGTGGCAAAGTTTCATCTTTATGAATGGTAGGAAAAAACAAGCTATGGTTTTCACTCTGAGGCAGGGTCTCACTAAGTCATTAAGTTGCCCAGGCTGGGTTCACGTGGTGAGTCCCAGCCCCAACCTCTGGAGCATTGAGATTACAGGTGTGCACCACCACGCCCAGGTTGTTCATTTGTTTTGAAGCTTCACACAGCCCACACCATGAGACTCCTATGGCCTCCCCTCACCATGTCAGCCTCTTCCTGCTTCTCCTTTTTCCTCCCTCTCTTCTCTCGTCTCTTTCTCTATCTATTCCACACCTCTCGCCATCTTTGAGGTTCTGGTCATACAATAGATCTTATCAAATGAGGCATGTGACCTACAGAGTGATGTCACACAACAGCCACCACCACCATTTGTCAAGCTCAGGCTTGTGGTCAGTTATTGACTTAGGTAAGAAAATGATCCAGTTCAGCTCTGTGAAATTAAAGAGCTTGGTAGAAAGCTTCTGAGAGAGGTTTCTTTTCTTCTAGTTAGTGCGGATGTGGATGTGAAGCCCGCAACCACAGCAACCGCCATGCATCATGGAAAAGCAGCAACGCAAGAATGAAGCCGACGTGGTGGGCAACACTGTGTGCAGACAGAAGAGAAACCCTGACTTCTCTGAGTCACCAAGTCAAAAGACCCCTAAAACCTACAGTAGCCTTCATTAGTATATGGCAGAGTGAACTAGAGCATTATTTTCAACCAAAATCACTGTCACATAGACATTCATGCAACACAAACTAATTAAATAACCTCTTACTATCCAGGAATTAGATAATACGCTAGAAATATGTAAGAATTCAGGTAAGCACCTCAGCAAAAAGTACATTGTCTATGTACAATTGATCATGCAGTTTACCCAAGAAGGACCCTGCCTTATACTGCCTCACCGAATCCTCAGGAGGAGACCATCCCAGGTCTGTACTCACCTTGCCGTGTTTCTTATTGCAAACCCACTCTCCCTCGTACATGGCTCCACTGGCATAGTAAAATGTCCCATGTCCGTGGCGACATCCGTTCACAAATTCTCCTATGTATTCATTCCTCAGAGGATACTGGGAGTTGGGGATTCTCCTTATAAACCATTTGTGCATTCCAAAACCATTCTGAAAAGCAAGCAAGTGAACCAGGCATGGTGGCACACACCTGCAATCTCAAGCCTCAGGAGGCTGAGGGAAGAGAAGCACATATTTGAGGCCTACCTGGACCACGCAGTGAGACTCTGTCTCCCACCCTCCCCCACAAAAAACCAAATAAAATAAATTTAAAGAAAGCACACAGTCATCAGAAATGTTCAAATTATTTCTTCCTTTTACCTGAACCTATTTAAAATTAGGACACATATAATTCAAAGGAGTAAAGAACAGGGACCATACAGACTTGAGTTCCATCTCAGCTTTAGAAATCTCAGTGATTTCTAAAGTCTTTCAATCTAAGGCAAATTATTGAAACCTTTAGGGTCTTCAGCTATAAAGTAGAGAAACCACCTTACCCTCCAGGTTTGATGCAAAGTTCCAAGACAGTGTATATACAATGTCTGGCTTGACAAGAGTTACTTTGAATTGTTGCTTTAAGTTTTTGTCTTTTTATGCATACACTTTGATGAGAGTACTTACTCTTCAACTGCCCAGAGGTAACTCACTTGCCTGAAAACCCATCTTTCTAGCCCCAGTCACCTGCAGCCAGACATATTAAATCAACATACTCTGTGTACTATTTTGTAACTTCTGGTTATACAAGGGCTGCTCAAAAAATGTGGTGTGTGTTTCAATAAAGAAAAGTATTACAGCACAAGGTACATTGGCATGAACCCCCTCACGATACTCCTCCCGACTTCAAACACACTTAACCCATGGTGCATGCCACTCCCCGAAGCAGTTCTGGACATCCTGTCTCATCCGTGTCTTCAGCTGTGCTGCTGTGACTGCCTTGGTGTCCTGAGCTGATTCCAAATGTTCACCTTTTATGGTCGCTTTGAGGAAGAGCTAGAAGTTGTACATTGCCAGATTTGGTAAGTAAGGTCAATGTGGATGCACTGTCAAGTTTTTACAAAACTGCCTTTCCACTGGATGGTGCTTAGAAATGGCATTTCTACTGGGTTTTCTATCACACCTCATGAAGACACTCACGAAAGAGGACTTCCAGAGCTGCTTCAGAAAGTGGCAAGATGGTACTATGAATAACCACTAAGAAGATAACAATATGCAATGTATTAATTATTGAAACTGTCCTATTAATCAGTTTTGAAACTGTCTCATTGCTATTTGTTTCTCAATGAAATTATTAAAAAGAAAAAGGGAAAGAAGAAAAAAAAAGCCCTATTCATATGCTGAGCTGTAAAAGGCTCAAGTCAACAATTTCTGACATTGCCAGTCCTACGGATAACCCACTACTATCATGGACTACTGGACTATATTGGATTATTTTGCTGAATTCATGTACCTACAATATTTAAATGGAAAGGGAATACCGGTCTCTGACAAAACTAAATAAAAAAAGGGGATATGAATGAAGGACCATTTTGTATCTGTATATACAAAACAGTTAGGATAAATACACAGCTACCTTCTCTTAATTCAATGAGAAGAAAGATTTTTACTAATAGTGTTTGGACAGGATATCATGTGTGCATCTTGTACTATGAATAACTACTATGAAGACAACAATACGCAATATATTAATTATTGTAACTACCAACAATAATTAATATCATCCTACTAACCTGTTTTGAAACTGTCTCATTGCTATTTGTTTCTCAATAAAATTAATTTTAAAACTTTAGAAAATTTAAAAAAAGAAAGTGGCAAGAATGATGGGATAAGTGTGTGCAAGGCAAGGGTCATTCATGGCAGTGTTTCCTTTACAAATTGAATATTCATCACATTTTTTTATCATACCCTGTATCGAAAAAAATAGAAAACAGGGGCTCAAGTGGATGATGTTCACAGCAGCATTACTTACAGAAGCTCACAGGGGAACAGCACCAGTGTCCTCTAGATAAAGGCCAAAACAAAATGTGGCCCACTTGTCCAGTGGAACATCATTCAGCCTTAAGAAGAAAGAAATTCTAGTCCGTGCTACACTACAGATGAACCTTGAGGACACCGTCCTCAGTGAAGCCAGCCACAAAAGAACAAGCACTCCATGATTTCACTTATGTGGGGACCCAGAATGGTTCGGCTCATAAGGATGAAAATGAAAGGCTCATTGCTGGCGGCTGGGGGAGGAGGGAGTGAGGAGTTACTGTAATAGGTATAAAGATTCACTTCTGGAAAACGAGAACCTCTGCAGCTGGATGGTGATGGCTGCAAATGAATGTGCTTAATGCTGCTGAATTGTACAGTTAATAGTTAAGATGGAGCCTGGCGGGCTGGTGCATACCTGTAACCCCAGCACTCAGAGGCTGAGGCAGGAGGAGAGCCATGAGTTTGAGGCCAGCCTGGGCTACATAATGAGACCCTGTCTAGTTAAAAAAAAAAGGAAAGAAAAGACCTACAATCTCCAATACCACATGCACACATGTACACGTGTGCATACATACACACACACATACAGACATACACACACAGAGAACTATGTGAGTTTAACAAGGTCACTAGTTGCCAGATTAATATATAAATTATTAGAGCTTGGCTAAGTGGTGCACTCCTATAATCTCAGCACTCTGAGAAGCTGAGGTAAGAGGATTGCAAATTGGAGTCAGCCTGGCCAACTTAGTAAGACCCTGTCTCAAAATACATAAAAATGGCTGGGGTATAGCTCAGGGCTCCCTGGATTCAGCCCCCATTCCCAACAGAAACAAGGAAATTCGAGGCTTATAGACAATATGAAATTAGCCACCTGAGGCTGCGCTGTTCTGTGCAGGAAATCCATAGCTTCTACATAGAGGCAGCAAGCTCTACCCTTACAGGAGCCACACGACTCACAGCAGTGGCAGAAGCCAGCATGCCTGTGAGACCGGGGGAGGCCTAAACAGACGGCAACACAAAACACACAGCTGAGACCCCGAAACCACCAACAGAGTTTTTAAGTTTAGCACAGCTTGAACTGCAGACAGCACGATTCCAGGTGCACAGGCTCGGGTCGGAGTGACCTGTGGAGCAAGCGCGGGCCCACCTGGACACCCCGATCCCAGTGGCCGTCGTACTCCTCCTTTGTCGCCAGCCACCTCATCTTGCCCTCCCCATGGCGCATGTTGTCCTCCCACTGGCCTTCATATATGTTTCCAGATCTGTAACTGGGACAAAAGAAAGCAAGGACGAGCGATCAGGAGCCTCACATGCGATGTCTGTCTCTAAGTCTTAGCCCCGTCTGTACAGAGGTGCTCTCCTGTAGTCCCAGCTATTCACGAGGCTGAGGCAGGAGGACCTCAAGGCCCAGGTCACCCAGGCAACTTAGCAAGATGCTATTTCAAAATAGAAAATTGTACATGGGGTTTAGCATAATGACAGAGCACTTGCCTGGCCTGCATGAGGCCCCAGGTTCCCTTCTCTGACACCACACACACACACACACACACACACACACACACACATTACAGATTCGTAAACTTTCCCCATGAATGCCTGGGTCCAGAGGCTCCTCAATACTGAAACTCACTGGGTAGACACCTGGTGAGTAAAGATAATCATCTTAGGGAGCAGAATAAATCACTTTATTAGGCCTACTGACTATTGAGTAAGGTAACAACATGAGTAACACCAATTGTTTCACATCTTTTAGGGTTTTGTTTGTTTGTTTTGTTTTTTGTTTGTTTGTTTTTCCCCAGTACTAGAAATTGAAGCCAGGGACTTCACATTGAACTCTATCCCCAGCCCTTTATTTTTGTTCTTATTAAACATGGTTTCTCTAAGTTGCTAAGTTGCCTAGGTTGGCCTCAAACTTGGAATCCTCCTGCTTCAGCTTCCCAGGGTGCTGGTATTACGGGCATGTGCTACCATACCTGACTGGAATCAATTCTCCATGGTATTATAAGTACTTAATATTTTGCTACCAACTTAAGATCAAAATTATCGGTTCAATCAAAACATTGAACAAAGGCATCAGCATTCTTCAAAAAGTGTACAACTCATGGAGGTTTGAGATTAATACAGAGTACAGGAAAGGCAGTTTTGACTCATAAAGTGATATAGTCTGACATTTAATGTAGTGTTTTTATAAATCTCCTGCCACTATAGTGATTATACTGGGATTAATTTAAGTCCCCCACCCCAGCTAGACAGAAAATATGTTCCCTACAGTTTCTTTGCCTCACCTTTAGCTCAAGTGACAATTGCTTGGACCCACAGGCCCCTGCACGCCCACCCACATGTGGTTGCGCCCCACTTACCATCTTGTGCCCCAGCCCTTTCGGACGTTGTTTTCCCAGTCACCTTTGTACCATGAAGTGCCCTCTTGATTGTAATAAATGGAACCCTAAAACAAATAACATCATTTCTAAAATATCAAGCCTCATTTCAATGTAAAGATTAAAAATACAGAAAGTTAAGCATAAGTTTGGCAGAAGCCAGTGTCATTCTTACACAAGACACGCATGACCCTTCAAGTTTCTGTTCTGCAGTTTTTAAGGAAATGGTAAGGTGTCCCCAGTAAAGGACAGGGGGACCGTGTCACAGACCGAGTACTCTCTCATAACAAAGTGCCACCCTAAGGCACAGAATGACTTTCCACTTTGCTCAGTGATTATCAGTCAAAAAAACAAGAGACATCAAGTCCTCACCACCTGAAGTGCACAGCTGTGCTTTGCTGTAACTGTAGGTTACTGTCCCATGTACCAAAGCTATTTTTGTTTACTCTACTTTGGCGTCTTACTCAAGGCCACCTCTGAGTGTCAGTGATGTCACGCAACCTCCTGAAGGCGGCGCCTGTGAACGGAGGCCTTGCCCCTAGCAGTATGTGCGGGTCCAGAGGCAGCGTCTCTCCTTCTTCATCTTCTGGCCACCTCGCTCCTGCAGGCACACAGGTGTTCTGTCCAGAAATCCCCAGATCATCAGTGTCTCAGCTGACCTGCTGTGAGCTTCACACACCACAAAGGTGGTAGCAGGGACAGAGCCTGTGCGGAACAGGAGGGAAGGGGATCTCGAGCAGCTCTTGCCTTGCAGTGGACCTGAGGGTGTCTTATCCTCTCCTAACTCTCCTGGCCTGCAGCCATTAAGGAAGAAAGCTGGCCTGACCAGATGCTAGGTATTTTTTTCTTTACCACACTAGGGATTAAGCCGAGATCCTTGTCTAGAGAGTCAAAGCAAAACACAAAAGCAAAAATAAGTTCACAAACCTAGATTCTTGGGCAAAGCACACTCTCTTCTGCTGAGCTACACTTGCCCCCCTTTGTGACACTGGGGACTGAGCCCAGGGATTTTGCTTTGAGCTCCACTCCCAGTCTTGTTTCTTTTCAGACCAGGTCTCACTAAGTTGCTCAGACTGGGCTCAAACTTGATCCTCCTGCCTCAGCCTCCTAGGGTGTGCTGGGATTATAGGCATGTGCTGCAGCTGGCCCCAGCCCCTCATTTGGACTCTAAAACCCAGCTCTTCCTTTTTACACAGACTTTGGAAAGCCTTCTTGGTTTGGTAAGGCCTGTGGAAACTTCCAGAGCCCAGCACAAATCCTGTGAAGGACTTTGCATGGCAAATGCAGGTGGCCTGGTGGTTCACTGCCAGGAAAATCCACACCTAGGGCAGGCCTTCTTGGGAGCAGCAGACGGGGTGGGGCTTGATCATCTCTGCTGTCCAGACCCAAAGCCTCCCAGGGCCGGAATTCTCCGGGGTCCTCAGGGCCGACCCCAAGTCTGTTTCTGCTTTTGCTTCTCCTTTTCACAGAGCACCACTTGAGCAAGAGTCACTCTTTTCTGTAGAGTTTCTCAACAGTGCATCAGATTCTACCCCTTTATTTTGTGTAGAGATAAAATAAACCAGGGTATTTACCCTATATTGGTGGACAGTCAAAAATTATAATAATAAAAGAAGGGGGGGAAGAGGAGACACAAAAGAAAAAAGGGGAGCCATCTGGGTGTGGTGGTGCAAGCCTGTAATTCCAGTACTCTGGGAGGCTGAGGCAGGAGGATCATGCATTCAAACCCAACTTTGGCAACTTAGTGAGGTTCTTGCCTCAAAATAAAAAATACCAAAAAGGGCTGAGGCTGTAGCTCAGTGTGAAGGTCTTGAGTTCAAAGCCAAGAACTCAAAAAAGGAGAGAAACATAGACAGAGTCAGAGAGACAAGGAGAATAGAGAGACACAAGAGACAGAGGAAGTAGAGCACAATCACGAGAAGGACTAAAAGGGGGAAGGAAGGAGGAGGAGGAGGAAGAGAGAATTAAAAATAGAAAAAAGAAAAGAAAAAAAGAGTCTCTAGGGTCAGCCCGATAGCTCAGTAGACTAAGTGCCTGCTTAGGTAAACACAGGGACTGCGGTTCGATCCCCAGCACCACCTGCCCCACCCCGGGGCACACTGAGCCAGCCACAGAGACCAGGCACAGTGGCGCATGCCTGTGACCCCAGCGCTGGGGAGGCTGAAAACAGGAGGATCACTACAAGTCCAAGCTGCATAGTGAGGCCCTGTACCAAATACATTAAAAAAAAAAAAAAAAGGAGTCTCTATTTGTTAAGAAACCTGCGTGAAGACTGTGCTGTGGTGGACTGCAGGACACAAGGACTGAGCACGCCTCCCCTGCACACAGTCTAACCCGTTAGGAGTTGGCCAGGGAGGATTAGAACAGTTGCCTTTTTCTTAGGCAAGAGTCTCTAAACTGCAGATTCTAAAGATTCTAAAACTTGGTACAGCATTTTGTCATCCTATATAAAACCAAGGCAATAATACCCAAAACAGAAATCTCAGTTGAAAATGCATCTTTAAAAAAAAAAAAAAAAAAGGCATCAATACTCCATTGCTAGTGTGGATGTGAGACAGTGTGGCCATGGAAAAGAGTTCGGTGGTTCCTCAGAAAATGAAACATAATGCTGCCCTCTGACCCAGCAATTCCACTTCTGGGAATTTCCCCCAAAGAACTAAAAGGAAGCACTTGAAAACATATTCATAATAGTAAGAAAACAGCATTGCGATGGTGACCCATGTCTGGCATCTCAGCACTTGGTAGAATGAGGCAGGAGGCTCTCCATGAGTCTGAGCCCAGTCTGGGTTCCACAGTGAGTTCAAGACCAGCCTGGATAACATAGCAAGACCTTATCTCAAAAAGACAAAATAAAACAAAAAAAAAAATAGCAATAGTGTGAACATCCATTCACAGACAACTGAATACATAAAACAATAAATACTGGCAGTGGAATATTACTTGGCCATTAAAAGGAAGAAGTACCAATGCATGACACAACACTGAAACACTTGAAAATATACCAAGTGAAGACAGACAAACACAGAAAGGCACATCTTATATGATTCCATTTATATAAAACATCAAGCTGGGAACAGCAGTGCATACCTGTCATCTCAGCTACTCGAGAGACTGCGGCAAGAGATAGAGGCAAATCACAAGTAGGAGACTGACTTAGGCAACTTAGTCAGAGTCTCTCTAAAAATAAGATTTTCAAAAAGGCTAAGGATGCTGCTTAGAGCAGAGTGTGCACCTGGCATGTATAAGGTCCTGCATTCAAGCCCCAGCACCACAAAAACATAAGAGAATCAAATGTCCGATGGGTGAACCCACAGAGCCCGTGAGCAGTTAATGATTGGCAGGGGATGTGGAGAGTGAGACATGGGGTAGCTGAGGGGGGATGGAGCTCTATCTTGGGGTGATGAAAAGGTTTTGGGATTAGACAGTAGTGATGTCACACAATACTGTGAATGGGCCAAACGTAACTGAAACATTAAAGAGGTTCACTGCAGTACGTGACCTTTCCCCCAACACTGCTGCCCACCACGCAGGGCTCTGCCTCATGGCCACATCACCCACCTGCCCATGTCTCTTGCCGTGGCACCAGTGGCCAATGTAGGACACAGGCTGCATGCTGCACCGGAAGATTCCAAAGCCGTTCCGCAGGCCGTCTACCACTTCTCCTTCGTACCTGCTGCCATCTGGCCACGTGTATGTGCCGTGGTTCATGGGGATGTTCTTCACAAAGTCCCCCTAGGGCACAAAGGGTGGATGTCCCAAGGCACTGAGAGGAAGCACCCCCACCCTCGCACACACATTCGCAGCCATTCAGAGATGGAGACGGCCCAAGCATCCACCGACAGATGGGCAAATAGACAAATGATGCTAAATACCGACAGTGGAGTTCTCCTCAGCCACAGCAAAGGACAAAGTTGACACATGCTACAGCACAGATGTAGCACACTGAGTAAAGGTGTGACAGGAAGGCAAGTGTGCCGGGAGAAGGCAGTGGAGGGCCACTTCCTCCTGTGGGCTGCTGGGACATCACCTGCCCACTGACTCTGGTCCTGGCTCTCCTCCCGCAGAAAGAGCTGGCCATGCTGCTGGTTTCTCCCTCCTCCCTCCTTTGCCAAAGCTCCATGCCCTCTGCCCTGAGCCCACCACCAGGTGGATGCAAGCAGAGCAAAATGTTAGGATGGTTAGGTGCAGACAAAGCTCCGGAGGCAAGCTGCCTGCTGGCTTAGGGAAAAGTGGCGGCTGCTACCCTGACCTTGGGAACTGCAGATCCTTGGAACTCACTAGAAGGAAGCTAATTCCTGGCCAGCCCCCAGGGGCCTGGATCATGAGCCAGGCAGTGGGAACCCTTCTGCCTGCAGGTCACCCAAGTGCTCTACAGATAGGTCAGGCGCCCAGCCTACCCACAGGCACCTTGCCAAGCATTGGCTCTGTGGCCCAGGATGTCTGTCCAACTGCCTAGCCGTCTCTCTCAGGAATCTGAACTTACTGGGCATCACAGCCGAGCTGGCAGAGAGACAAAGGCCGAGCCATGTGGTCTGACCCACCTGAGTGCTTCTGTGAGGCCCAAGGACCCTGATGCTGGGCTGGAAGCAGGGAGCTCTATGCCTGTGGCAGGACCCAAATCCCACAGATTGCAGAGGGGCCTCATTCACTGGCTGGCAACCCTGAACATCAGCCACAGGTGAGGAGCCACAACTACACGTGGGGTCCCTCCAGCCAGTGTTGGGGCCCTGGGCCGATGGTCAGTCCTGCCTTGTTCCTCCACAGCTGTCTCCTGCCCTCTGGGCCCTACCCTGCGTTCATTTCCATGCCTACCTGGCTGGTATCTGAGTGTGTTCTGTGCGTGTGTTTTAAATGTCTTTGGTGTCATTTATAAACACCGTATTGCTAATAGCTGTACAGCTGGGATTTTTAGAATGAAGTTTCAGGCATTCATATTTTGGGAGTTGAAATGGCATAGTCTCTTGAATAACAAATCTCGCCTGATAACCTCTTTTAAAAGACACATTCAAGCCAGACAATGGTGGCACATGCCTATAATTCTGCCATTCTGGGAGGCTGCAGCAGGAAGATTGCAAGTTCAAGCTTAGCCTGGACAACTTTGCAACTTTGTAAGAAACTGTTTCAAAATCAAAACCAAAAAGGGCTGAAGATGAAGCACAGTGCAGAGGCCCTAGGTTCAATCCTAAGTATCCCCCCAAAAATGAAATAATAGAAATCCAACATAATCCCTTCAACCCAAGAAGAGGGGTTAAGTGAAACCCACATAAAGAAAACCATGTGCCCTGTATCCAGTATAAAGAGAAGAGAGTATATAATAAGCTGTGTTTGTGTTTATAAAAAGCAGGAGGGTGAAAGGTATGCCCGTGCGCTGTGTGCACATCGAGCCCTACAGAACTGCATGTACGCGTGCTCTGTGTGCACTGAACTCCGCGGAGGCACACTGTGTACAGCCTAGAGACAGTGCATGGCGGCCTACAGAGCTGCAGGACAGAGCAGTGGCGATTCCCAGAGGGCGCTGCACAGCCACAGAGGCACCCCCCCCCCCCCGGGCTGGGGCACTTCCCTAGACAGTGGGAGCCTGCCTGCTGGTTTCACAATTACAGTGCAGAATTGTAATTCATTATACGCCTTACCTCGTATTTTAATCCGTCGGCCCATATGTAAGTCCCTTGTCCGTGCATGAGTCCTTCGGAGAACAGGCCCTTGGAAACAGAAGAGCAGCAAGCCCTGAAGAGGAGGCTGGGCCAAAGCGCACACCACCACCCCCCTCGCTGCTGGCCAGGACCCCATCCACCCTTTCTCGGGGTGTGGTGGTGACAGCAGCAGCAGCAGCAGGCGCAGTGGGAGAGCCAGCATGGCATCGTGTCCTGGTAGGTGCAGAGGAGCTCAGAAAGATCAAAAATAAGGTTCCCTACAACAGACGCAGGGCATCTGTCTTCATATCCTAAAAGACTCTGAAGTTCAATAGAGTTCAAATATTTTGATCTTGCATGTCAAATGTTACTTTCTCTTTCATGTTTTTAATTTTTAAATTTTATTTATTTATCTACCTATCTGGAAGTACTGGGGTTGAGGCCAGAGCCTTCACACTGGTTACACTCCCAACTCCTTTTTTAGTTGTTGATACAGTGTCTCATTACACTGATACATTGGGGCTGGTTTCCAAGCTGTGCTCTTCGAGTCACAGTAGTGGGACACAGGTGTGGATTGCCACAACCAGCTCCACACTAAAAAGCTTCTTTTGGGAGGTGGGCAGCCCTGGGGTTGAAGCCCCATGGTCTTCACATTACATTCTCCATCTTTTTGTAATTTTGATTACATTTATAGGTTCACGCTTTCATCTGTTTTCCCTCACTGGGAATCATTCGTATCTGTTTGTGGACACACATGTGCTGACAGGCGCACGGAGACACACTGACCTGGATCCCTCCATGCTCACAGACCCCAAAGTCGGCAGATGCTTGCATCCCTTGTGGAAAATGGTGGGAAAGAAATACCATGGCGGAGTATCTGCATGTGACCTACACACATCCCCCTGCTTGTTTATTTTGGTGCTGGGGATTAAGCCCAGCATCTCATGTGTTCCAAGCCTGAGCTCTACCACCGAGCCACACCTAGACCCATCTGTATGCTTTAGATCATCTCTAGAGTACAGATGAAGCTGCTACTACAGATGCTATGGAAACAGCTGTTGTTCTGTGTGGTTTAGGAAATAGCAAGAGAGAGCATGGAATGTTCACAGTACAGATGCAACGGCTGCTCCGACAACTTCGACCTGTGGCTGGCCAACTCTGTGGACTCAAAACCCACACATATAGATGGCCAAAGACAGTTAATTTATATCTGGTTGCTGCTCATCTATAGGAGCTGGTCAGGAAAACACTCCACACACCCAGATGTCTAAACATAATCTCAGCAAACAAGGAGAAAGCAGCATGTAGTTCTTCTCTGGTGTCACCTGGTCAGAAGCGGATGGCTCTCAGATGCTGCTTGCGTGGCAGTCACCAGGGCTTCTAACATGCAGACTGCCGGGCATGCCCACACTTCCCTCTCATGAACAGGTTTGGTTCACAGTCCCAGAATGTACATTTCTAAAAATCCCCAGGGAAGTCAGGAGTGAGGGTGCACACCTATAATCCTAGTACTCAGGGAGGCTGAGGCAGGAGGATGACAGGTTTAAGTCCAGCCTGAGAAATTCAGCACCTTAACGAGATCCTGTCTCAAAAAAGGGTAGGGAGAGCAAGTGGGCTGGTGATGTAGCTCAGTGCAAAGGCCCTGGTTCAGTCCCCACACTTGTGGGGGTGGGGCTCGGATACAAATATTCACGTATCTATTCAAGGCTTGAAAGAAACATGACAAATTCCACATATTTATGACATCAACCCTGGGATTTCAGTTGGCCTTCTAATCCATAACTTCTGAATCTGCAATTTGGTCACTTCTAGAGAAACAGTTACATTGTGGTGATGCTTGTGATGTAGCTAGGCCTACACTAGCAGGCAGCATGGTAACCAACATGTGCATTTCCTTCCCCAAACAATACAGCATAACAACTATTTATGGGGCAGTGTTAACATCGCATTTTGTACTATGAGCCATTTGAGATGACATAAAGCAAATGAGAGGATGTAGATTCGATCCTTATACCACCTCATCTCACAGAGGGGACCACAGCATCTTAAGGGAGTGTCTGAAGGGAGTCCCAGAACCAATCCCCCAGAGATACCAAGAGACAACTGACTTGCTTTAATGATGGCGCTAAAATAGTCATAAATCAAGCAAAAATAAAAAAAAACCCTCAAGTGACTACTTCAGTTATACCCAGTCATATTTTGACTTTATCTATAAATCAGCAGGACATACTTGCAATTCCTTTTGAATAATCAATGACATTGACTGAAGACTTACAAATCTGAAACTGTCACACTAGGTAGGAGGTGGACTGCCAACCTAGGCCAGCCAGGCAACTTTGTGACTTGGGGCAATATGAAAAGGGCTGGGGTTGTAGCTCAGCGCAAAGGTCCTACGCTTGATCCCTAGTACCAAAAAAATAAATTAAACTCTCACCCCACACCTTCTTCCCAAGACAGCAGGTCCCAGTAAGAGACTCACATGGTAGGTGCCACCACCTTGGAAGACTGCAAAGCCTTCTCCCTCGTACAGTCCACAGACTTTCTCCCCTTCATACCTGTGAAGAATTGAAGCCAGAGGTCATCAGTGATGTCAATAAGCCCAAGGCACAGGAAGTTAAAATATATAGTTAGGAAATAGAAGCTGGGCCTGGGGGTGCATGTCTGTAATCCTGGCACTCTGGGAGGCTGAGGCAAGAGGACTGCAAGTTGGAGCCCAGCTGAGACCCTGTCTCAAAATTAATGAAATTAGGAAAACAAAAAAGAAAAGAAAGAAAGGAAAGGATGTTTTAGCTTTGGGAAAGGGAGTTTCAAGAGCAGTGACCAGATTTTTAGATCCAAAAGAAAGATGTGATGATGTGTGATTTGTCACATAACATCTCTGGGCTCTGAGATGAAAAGAAAACAAGCCTGGACAGGTGTCATCAAACTGGGCTTCTTACATGAATCCACAGAAGATTAAGCATTAGAAAATCTATAGGAACACTCATTACATGAGCAGACTAATGAAGAAAAACCACATGTGCCCCCTCCTGTCCCTCTCTTGGACAGGAGCTTTCTTTCTCTCAATAAATATATTCTGCTCATAAAAAAAAGAAAAAAAAAAAAAGAAAAACCACATGTGTGTATCACAAGGATAGAAAGCTATTTCATAGACTCTAGCAATCATTTCTGAAAACAAACTTCTGGCCAAGCATGGTGGCACAGAGCTGCAACTCCAGTACTCTGGGAGGCCGAGGCAGGAGGAGTCCAAGTTGCTACCTACTCTGTGGTCTTAGTGGTTTAGCTAGACCCTGTCTCCAGAAAAGAAAAGGGGCTAGAGCTGTAACTCAGTGAACAGACCCAGCGTTCAATCCCAAGTACCACCGAAACAAAACAAAAACCCTGTTATAATATGAGGAAACTACATCAATATAATAAACTACTTATGCAAAAACCCAGCATGTGTGATTTTTAAAGGGTGAATTAATGAAATTGATTCTGTTAAAATGAAGAAATAGGCATGGCTTCTGCTTTTACCACCAATTATTTAAAACTGCTTTCGAGGTTCCAGTTAACGCCAACATCAGGAAATTTAAAGAAGTGATATCAGCATTGAAGAGACACAAAATCATTTACTTTGAAGCTTCTACGATTATTTACCTATAAAACCCAAATTTTATTATAATCAATTTGAGTGGGCTGGGCTGTGCCTCAGCAGTAAGAGCACTTGCCTAAGATGCATGAAGTCCTGAGAACCAGGACAAACAGCAAAATCAAAAACAAAAGACAGCACAGCAAACACAAAAACAAAAAACTCCAGATAAAATAACTTGTGTAACCAGGAAGGGACTAGGAGAGGGAAATTTGCACTTGATCTTAGCCAAGAGGCCAAGAAGCAACAGGAGAGGAGGGGATGACAAACCCAACACATCTTTGCATTATTTTTCTTTTCTTTTCTTTTCTTTT